TATAACAGGGAGTTTCATATTTAGTCCTCTATTATCAAATATTATCCCCGTAGTCCTTTTTTTAAGGATACCTTTCCACAAATGGTCCTTTTTTTATCTTCTACCGCGTTGGTGTTAATTTAAAGGCTAAAAGTATAATTTAACATCAGCATTATGTTTAGTGACGTGTTCTGATATTGGTTAAGCGGATAACACAAAAATAATGACTATGATTGTGGGTTAGGATTATGACGAAAGACCACATTTGTAGACTATGGTTGTAGTAGAAATCGACTATAATTCACAAACGACGCAAACGGAACAGCCTTTGGAATTATGTATGACAAAAAAGATATATTATCATTGTGAAATTACACTTTTAGCCCTCAAATTATTACCAACATGATAGAAGATCAAAAAAAGGACTATTTGTGGAAAGATACCCATAAAAGAAGGACCACTGGGATAATATTTGATAATAGAGGACTAAATAGGGAAACCCCCTTGTTATAAATTAAAGGACCAATTATAGAATTTACTCTTATTTATAGATGTTCCACTTTGATTGTCAGAATGCACAATATTCCTTTATCTTAAATCTAAGAATGCATTGCGTTATCGTGTAAATGCATTATCTTAATAAAATAATGCTCAATAGTAAATGATAACAATAGAAATCACTCTAAATAGGACTAAAACATATAGAAAAGTATCAAAATAGGACTTTCATGTTTTTTTCTCCGAAATATGACTTTGCACGGTGGTAATGTGCACATTACTATACTTTTTGGTAATATACATGACCATGTTTGGTAATGTAAGTCCTATTTCGGGAATAAAAACATGGAAGTCCTATTTTGGTATATTTTCAATGTTTTAGTCCTACCTTGGTCTTTCTCCCTAATAACAAAGATCCATGCAGACTTGGTTTATTAAAAATTGACAACAATGCAAAACATATTACAATGCACTTTGAGTTCTCTATATTGCATGACTAGAGTGTATACTATACATTTATAACTGCCTTGCTCTATGAATCGATATTAAAATTTTTCTATTCTTCTTAGAAAGTAGAATTTGGGCTAAAATACAGAAAAATTTAAAAAATGCAAAGTAGAAACAAAACTTTATGATTTTTAAAAATACAATTTAAAAAGTAGATTTCAAAAAATTAAATTTTGATGTAAAAGGATTATTAAGAAGATTAAAATGATCAAATTTGCAAAAAAATAGCATAACAGAAAAAAGAAACGTACGTGAATGAGTATTTAAAAAAGGAAACATGGATGATGAATTGCAATAGGAATGGAAAATGAATGCTAAAATCATGGGAGATGATTGATTTAGCATTAATTGAGATATAGTTGAATATCATTTTCACCCTTCTTTATTTTTTAAAAATTTAAAATCTCTTGATCCGACGCTAATGGTTCATTCTCATTTCTTTCATAGGATCTTATTCTCACCAAAACCTATATATATAGGGGCCGGTTCCCGTGAAAATGCACCTTGTGGAGAGAAATGAGAAAAAAATCTAGCCGTAGGATCTGATGCATCGTGCGGCTCAGATTGCATCCTGCGCTCAGATTTTGAAATAGTGCATTTTCAAAGGATTTTGGTGCATTTCGACATGATGCATTTTCAAACCATTTTGGTGCACTTAATTTTGATGCAATCCTAACCCTTAGATCTCACAATCTAAAGCATTAGATTCATTCTCATTTTTCTCATAAGATCGCATTCTCAACGGAACCTATATATATATATATATATATATAT